ATCGAAGGCCCACTGACATGTGACAGAAGCAGCAATGTATGGCGTTTTGATGGCAGAACAAAGGGAAGGGGGGGGGGGGGGGGGGTAAGAGACACAAGGGAGTGTAGGGCAGAGGGAAATAATGCATAGAAGTGGTGGATGAAATAGTTTGGGTTAGTGACAGTGTGGGGACATCAACAGCAGAAAAGGATGTGTGGAGTGGAAACAGAATGGATGGAGGGGACAAAAGTGGAGCAATGGATGAATGCAAGAGGTAAGAGAAATATGAATTTCTTTAAATTATACTATTTTTTGATAAGATAATTATGCATTCGAAAAATTAAGTCCTTAATTTTTCACATTTTTATTGCAACCAGTTAGTAAACTCAACCAGTTAACTAAGAAGCAAGAAATTTGTTTCAAGCTAGACATGCTCACAAAAACAGCATTTGATAACTGACAATGAAAATGAAAAAGCTGCAAATTCCTTAATTACATATGGATAATAGCAATGTTTCACGCTTGCTGTAATCCTGGCACGAAATCTCAAACGGGTACTTTCTTTTAATACTGAAGGTTTGATCTGACTAGCAAAACTTGGCTCTTTGGGTAAATGTGGCATTTAGCAGCATACATTTTATTTTACACTTGAGCCCTGTACTGCCACTATTTTAGAATAATAGTGAATATCAGGTGGAAAAGCTGAGGGAGAAGAGTGAAAGCAGACATGCATTTTCCACTAAGCAGGAACCATGATACTTGTAACACTGCCTGTTCATCCAGGTTTGAAGAAGTAAAAGCCAACTGTGTAAAATAATTTTTTTTAAAACTACCCAGATACTTACAAACTATAAACTTACCCTTTGTCGTCACGTGAACGAGAGCGATCCCTGTCCCTCGATGCTGATCTGGACCTTTCACGTGTACGACTGCGGCTGCGGTCCCTGGAACGCGAGCGAGACCTTGACCTCTCCCTTGATCTGCTTCGGTCCCGTGAGTGAGAACGATCCCTGGTCCTGCTCCTTGAACGTGATCTGGACCTCGTGTATGACCTTCTCCTACGAGGTGTGCGACTTCGACTTCGGGACCTTGAGTACCTGACATGCAGGAAGTACTTTAGACTATGAATGCTGTTTATTATTTAAATGTGCAAATCTAATGTTATCTGAGCCTCCAGAGTGCCTGTGTTGGACTGTTAACATCCACACACACTGATATTGTTACATTCTGCCATGCACAGAACTACGGCCTGGATGTTGGAAACCGCTTCAGTTCAACCAGGCGTGCTGAGAGTATAGGCATGATAAGCACTGAAAGATCATTTCGATCATCCCAGATTATGGTCAATCTTACAGAAATGCCAAACATTGTATCAAACGAGTTTCAAAATTTGCGTGCGAATTTTGTCTGGACTCGTCTGTTGCAATTACCCCGACTTTCCACAGGAAGAATCCTTCCACTTTTTTTTTTTTTTTTTTTTTTTTTTTAACTACTAAATGGCAATATAGATCAATTGACCATAAATCAGATTTGCACAGAACACCTTGTAAGGTAGATTTGTCCTTATTTACTTACATGAACTGCCTCTGGCTGAAAACGGTTGATTAACAATGTAAGGGGACTAAACTGAATAGTGAAAACTACCTAAAATAAAGTAACAACCATTAATTAAATTTTACACCAGTAAGCTTACTGTGCCTGTCAAGAGTCATGAATCTCGGAAGAGAGTTGTCTGAAGGTCTGACGTTCGATCACGTAGGTAGGGTCATGTAACTGCGTTGTTTAACCAGCGCTGAACGCTCATGTAACTGCGATGTTCGAGTAGAGCACGAGAGAAGTCTACGGTGACTGACTGGCAGGCAGTAAGCTTTACAAATGAGGCCATGAAGTTCAAGGTGTGGCCAGAAGGTCAAATTCAAGTTGTAGTGCGATGATCAATCGACAGAGCGCCGATCTTTGACTACTCGAGGTTTGGGAATGGGGATCTCAGCCGTTTTGCCTACAAAATATGAGTGTTCTGTCAATAGCAGTTCCACCAGTTGATAATCCCTTAGCTTTATTTGATAAGTTAAAGTAGACCACACAAGACAAGTCCACATGACAGGGCTAATGCAGAGATTAAGCATCACAGAAAAAACTCACATAGAAATCTAATAAAAAGAAAAATATGAAAGCAGCTTCACTTTAGTCATGACCTACAGAAACCAGGTGAACTTGATCTGATACTGGCCTCCAATAAGAATAGTGCTTATTGACCCAAGCTCAGGAATTGAGGATTCGTGCAATAACCACCAGATGCAGAGCCACGCACTCCCACTCACCCCAAATACACAATACGTACCTCGATCCGTGACGGCGGCTGTACCTATAGCAGTCTCTAGCATAGTGCCCACGCTCTCCACATTCATAACAACGATCCTCAGGGTGGAAAGGCCTGCCTCGACGAGGAGGGGGGCCACGAAATCTGCTTCGAGATTTACCAGTTGATAGTTCTACACGTACACGGCGTCCACATATTGTCCTAAAATAGAAAAATATTAAAATATTACTTTAACAGTTAAGAGCAAAAATTGTATAGGATATCAATCTGAACTTAAATTTAATTCAGAAATACATGTACCTAGAATGGTTGAGTAAGTTCTGCTGACAACAGACCAAAAGACCTACTCGACAGCCATCTCGGCAATTTCAACCTATTTTCAGTCCTGAAGCCAATCAAAGTCGTCTCTTTCTGTAATATGCACCAAGAGAGACGTATTGGTGGGTTCAGTTTCTCCAGTTTCCGGTATCCATGGTTTACCCTGGCCCAAAAATAACCCTTAATTTTGCTAAATAATAACACCAAAGTGCAAAGGTAGTGATGGTGACAGCTCTTCAAAGCCTAAGAGATGTTGTGAAGTGCTTCCCATCAGTTAAAAATGTGCCGATTCTCAACTTGTGAGAGATTTATCAAACTATCACAGACGTGTATGCAAACTAAAAATTACTTGAATATAGGGTTCGCTACTATCTGCCGTAAGAGACTGAACATATCTCCTGTGGATATGGGGGTCCTACTGCATCTTCCATTCTACCAAACAAGACCAAGAAACCAAGAATACAACCCTAAAAACAATAAAAAAAAGGCACAATACCATAACTGGAACAATACACAAAACCTGCACATAGAAGAGAGGAGCTTACAATGACGTTTCGGTCCAAGTTGGACCATTTAGAAAGTCACACTAACAAAAAGGAGAGGAGGGAGTATATATAGGCCAGCAGACAGGGAGAGGTAGTAGAAAAGGAGGAAGAGAGGTAGTGGTAGAGGTAATAGTGGTGGTAGAGTCAATTGAATACGAAGAAAAAGCAGCACTGCAGGGGAGCTAAGGGCCCACAGAGGGTAGGAGCAAGAACACAGAGGGAGGTGGGGACGATAAATAAAGGGGAGACCTCATCCACTTCACTGGATCAATCTGTTCCACCAGTTGAGGAGAAAGACTTAGCTCCCACTGACTTCCCAGATGAAGTCAAACGTTTGTTGACTTGTTGAACAAACGTCGTAAAGCCATTGCCTTACCAGGTGAGAAGATGGGTATAACGAACTTATTGTCCCATCGTATTCCACTTGAACCTGGTACTAGACCGTTCTACATACCTGCGTACAGAATGCCTCATTCACAAGTTGCTGTCGCAGAAGAATTGATCAATCAAATGCTCGATGATGGAGTTATTGCACCTAGCAATTCACCTTGGAATGCACCCTTGATCCTAGTACCTAAGAAGGATGGTACTTGGCGCCCAGTAATTGACTTTAGGAAGTTAAATGAGAAAACCATTCCAGATCGCTTCCCACTTCCTGTACTGGGTGATCTTTTACGTAACATCGGAGATAAAGTCTTTTCAACCCTGGATTTGTTACAAGGGTTTTGGCAAGTCCCTCTTCACGAGGACAGCCAAGAGCTAACTGCATTCTCCACTCCTACAGGTCATTATCACTTCCTCCGTATGGCGTTTGGATTACGATCCTCCCCTATCACGTTCTCAAGGCTCATGACTAATATCTTTAGAGGTCTCATAGGTAATGCACTTATGGTATACTTAGATGACGTAATCGTCATGTCTAAAGATGTGGATACACACTTGAAAAGACTTGATATAGTACTTGGTAAGCTTGAGGAAGCCAAATTTTTAAAAGATAAAAACGGGTTAAAATTGTAATTTTTTCAGATCAGAAATTAAGTTTTTTTGGGGTTCACGTAGTCACTCCTAGGGGGTTTTTTTCGCCTGACCAAAAAGTAACTCCCAGTACTAAATTTTCCAACCCCCAAAACTGCTGATCCCGTAAGATCCTTTGTGGGCTTTAGCGGGTTTTTATAGATTTTTTCATTCCCAATTTTTTCTTCCAAAAGCGCTCCTTTTAACTGATTTTCTTAAGATCCCTCCTTTTTTTTGGGAAACCTTCCGTCAAGAAAGAGCTTTCCCAAAAACTCTAAAAAAAAAGCAAACATCTGCCCCAAAATTTTTTAAAATTTTCCAGTTTTTTCCCAAAACCCTTCTATCTGACAACGACCCTAGTTCTTTTGGCATAGGGGGGCCCGACTAGCTCAGAAGCCCGATGGCAATTTACAACGCAGTTGCATTTGCTAGCCAAAGTCCTTACAAAAGGCGGGAACGTAATTATACAGTAACTGGCAAAAAGCTTTGGGGCAATAGTATGGTTTTTTAAAACCCTTTCAGGGCCCAAGGCCAAAATCTGAAGTCACGAACCAGGTCCAAAAATTTTAAAAAAAAAAAAAAAATTATTTTTTCTTCAAAATTTAAAAGGAAGCATTTTTTTTTGTGAAGGTAATGAAAAAAAAAAATTAAATTGATCAGTATTTTACCGAAAAATACAGTCCCAAAAAAGTTTTTTTTTTTGAAAAATTGTTTGTGGTGGCGGAAACATCAAAGAATTCCCCATACCCCTTTATTAATTTTTTTGTTTTTTTTAGTTTTTTTTTTCCTTTTTTTCCAAATTTTTTTTCTTTTCCTACTAACTTTTGGGGCCCCCGGGGGAGAAAACCCAATACTGTATATAATTGATATATTTTAAAACTTACTGTATTGAACAAAAATAACCGCCCTAAAGTTTTTTATCATTTATTTTTTTACCACTTTTGTTTTTTTACAATAAAACCCCACAAATATTGTTAAATCTAATGTTCTATCAATTTTTTACATTTTTTAAAATTTCACTGGACATGGTTTTAAAAACTGCTGGAGTTTTGTGGAACCCCTTGAAAAAAGGGGAAACCATGCAAAGAGGCACCTTTTTTTCCCTCACAAAATAAACCGAGGTCTTTGCGTCTTTTTTTCCCCGCCCGTTTTTTTTGTGCACAGCCCAAGCACCCTTTTTCTGAGAAAATTTTCTTTGGATTGAAGGAAGCTGTATTATAAAATGATCACCTTCTCTCCTCAAAGCTTGGGTTTATTTGTTTAATTTCGACCCCCCTTTTGGAAAGCAGGTGTTGTTACCTGGTACTTCATTAGGTTGTTGCCCAACAGAAAAACAAAATTCACCATACGGTGGTCTTTTACCAGCCCTTTAAATTTGGGGTAAAATATTATATGCATTCAGAAATTGAAATTTTCCATGAGAGGGAAGAAAAGTTTCATGTCCCACTTGTAACTTTTAAAGAACACAGTCAAAAAAACCAATTGCATGTCCCACTTGTAAACCAAGCGCTTTTTTTGTGTATAAAAAAAATCACTTTTCCCCGGGTTTTTCAAATTATTTATTGGGGCACTCGATAAATTTTGCCAAAAGGGCCCTTGAAATTTCTTTAGGTAAAAGGTTTGGAAAAACAATGTGACACTCTTTTGCCCATGCCCCCGGGAAATTTCCCATGATGTCATTGGCGAAAAACACCTGCACGCCCATCACCCGAAACCTGCGTTGAGCCTGGGCATATTTTTTAAACGATTAAAAAGCACTGTGCCACCCCACATTTTGTCTTGTTCACTCGCATAAAATTTCACTGAGTAATGGGTTGTGTAAAATTTTATCGGTATAAAATTGTAGGGCCCCTTAACCAAATAAGGTCCCATCATTTTTTCCTAAACTACGTTCCCCTGATATACCCATAACACCCGGGTAATTCTTTCATGTTTTATTTCCCGTGTATACAAAAAAATTTCCCAAACCCGGGCCACTGTCAAATCACAAAGTACAAAAAATTTTAAATACCAAAGGGTTCCTCTTGCTGGTATATACGCTTAAATTTGAAAAGCCCTCCCCTTTAAAACAAAATAAAAGGGACTCGAAATTTTTACAAGTTTCTTGAAGGGATAAAAGTAAAACTGAATTTTTGTTTTGAGAAAACATGAAAACTTTTCTAATCTTGTATAACCTGTCACTTCTGTCGGGGCCGGGTTTTGTCAGAGAAGTGCAACCCTTTCTAACATAAAATAAACTGTTCACTGGGATTATTTTACTGAAGGGTGGGGTACAAATTAGCCGAAACTGTGGACCAGTTGCTTTTTTTATTATGTTTTAGAATGAGGCATAAGCATTATTGTTGGGAAAAAGCAAAAAACATTTTGCAAAAAGTCTCTCTTTTCCCCGTGTAGTCTTGACTGTGGTGTTTAAAATGTATTTGCCAGGTTTACGGGAAAAACTTATTACTTTCCCTGACAATTTAATTTTTCCCTCAATGGGCTGGTCAAAAAAATAATTTTAAAGAATTCCAGTTTATTGGCCGTGGTTTCCCAAGGGGGGGGTAGGGGAAATTCCCCTTTGAAAAGTCATCAAAGTGGGGGAGGGTGGGAACAAAATTGGGATTTTTCCCCCAATCCCAGAACGGTTTTCTGGTGGATACTGGAAAATCTTTTCCGGTTTTTTCGGGTTTGGTTTTTTGGGGGGCTGGTGGGGACGCTCCGCTTTGTCCTTGAACTTTACGAAATAGCAGCTGGGTCCCCGCGTGGGGACAGCGAGTTTACGCATGGGTTTCCCCTACCACCACCACCCCACTAACAACCCTCCATGAGTTTGTGGCCCCCCCCTGCCAATGTAGCCAATCATCCCCACTATAAATACCTAAAACGGTGTAGGGCCCCGGGATGTACTCAGGGATGTAATCCGGGAGTACCCGTCCCCTGGGACAGCATAGGGTACACTACCCCAGCGCATGCGGGGGCGAAAATACCAAAGCTTCACTGGGGAATATGGGTTTCCCCACCATCCTACTCGAATGATCGTCGAGCTCAATAAAATCACAATCCACGTCAGAATCATGTCTTTTTTGAAGTCAGAGGGGCCCGGCCACGGGGAAAAAATTTTGTTTTCTTTACGTTTAGGAACACCCCGGGCCGGGAGTACCCAAATGCCCCCCAACCCCCGGGGAGAAGGTCCCAGGATCGTCGGGGTTTTTTGCCCCTATTAAACTATCCTGGGCCCTTATTTTTGGCCCCTAAATTTATCAAAGGGCCTTGAATTGTCTTAATTTCCACTTCCATCAGTGTCCCGAACCTCAGACAGGAAGAGAAGGTCCCAATTTTCCG